TGTAACGAGCAGTGTGTCTTCGGTTCAGTGTGTGTTCGTGTGTGGCGCTTTCTACTGCGACGAGACCTTTAAATACGAGTGAGGCGCGCGCTGTGTTGATTCATCTTGCCGTAAGGTGTGTGTTGTGAAAGTGTCCATCGCAGATCTGAGTGGTTGGTACGTCGTGTTCGCCGCTGTGCGGGATGTTTCGTGTGCCGTCAAGTACGTTAGACCAACTACAAATGAATGAATGGATCGGAAATGGTCGAGTTCAAAAGGTAATGAAGGTTCCGTAAGTAAAGCCCAAACCGATTAAAGTATCGACTCAGAACCCGATAGAGAAATGCTGCTTGTCTAAAGAGTACATTTTGTTAATTTGAAGGAGGGTTCGTTAACTCATTTTGGTTGACTAAAAATGGTGGTAATCGCCGGTGTCTAGATTTTACGCGCGCTTCTGCTCGAGAAGTTGTATCTTCGGTCTTTCTTGGTATGCCTACGCGCGACACATAAAGAGCCGGTAGAAGAGAGTCCGGTGCATTTCTCGGCAGTCGCTTTTTGCCGGTGGAGTGCAATTCGCCCGATAATAAACGCCCAAGGAGAGCGTCGACGCCGGGACTTCCGCGAGCGCACCTGCGCGACTAGGGGACTCCGTCTCCGCGTTTGTCACCTCCGCCTCTGCTTCTGGCTTAGGACAGCGATGCGCAGTCGGCAACAAAACATCGTTTTTTGTAAACATCGATGCTCAAAATTCTAACATCCATGTTACTAAAACATCCGCCAAAAACTATCGATTTTACGGCACATTGATGTTTTCACAACTTGATTAGGGACCATTGAAGTTCACGCAGGGCAGGGGAAGTGATATCATTTGTTACTTTTTTTATTAAGACGTAACTGCCTAAAACGTTTTTTAAAAAATCGTCAGAACAATTAACAAAACTAGTATTATATGGTTTGATAATTCGAAACAATAACATCTTTATTGACGAAAACTCTATTTTTTACAGTAGTCACATTCGTCTGAAGAGAATTCAGTTTATGGATATTTGAAAAATATTATAAAATTTTGTTACGATGGACTTTTTTCATTTAAAAAACATCGATGATTTTATAAAAACATCCTTGTTTTGCTAACATCGACATCGATGTCTCATTCCTAGTGTAGGGCTTCGTCTGTATGTCTGCCTCCGCTTCTGCACCACCACAATGCCTTCTGTTCCACGTTCTCGTTCGTCTTTTCATTCGTTTCCATGTTCTCTCCTTTCTCTGAGTTTCTTATCATCTGCTTTACGCTAAAGTCTTAGTTTCCTTGTAACACGATTTTTCCGTCATATTTTCTTGAACCACCGCTCCACATCTTTTCGTTATTGTTCGTCTCCTCTGTATTTTCATAATTTATCCTGTTTTCCTTCTCTGCGTTCATCTCTCGCTTCCACTTACACTCCATTTCCTTCTTTCTACTTCTATTCCTTTTCCCCTTTCTCCACCACATCCGCCATCATCCGCCTTCATTATTTTCTTCGCCTTCATCATCGTGTTTCTCCGCCTTCACCATCGTCTTCGTCCGCCTTCAC